TTTTTGAGATGGAGTCTCGCTCTGTCGCCCTGGTTGGAGTGCAGTGGTGTGCTCTCCACTCACTGCAAGCTCCGCCTCCCAGGTTTACGCTATTCTCCTGCCTCAGCCTCCCAAGTAACTGGGACTACAGGCGCCCGCCACCACGCCCGGCTAATTTTTTGTATTTTTGGTAGAGACAGGGTTTCACAGTGTTAGCCAGGATGGTCTCGATCTCCTGACCTTGTGATTCGCCCGTCTCGGCCTCCCAAAGTGCTGGGATTACAGGTGTGAGCCACCGCGCCCGGCAACCCTGCTATTTTAAAAATATTTTTAGTAGAGAGGGGGTTTCTCCATGTTGGTCAGGCTAGTCTCCTGACCTCAAGTGATCCGCCCTCCAGGCCTCCCAAAGTGCTGGGATTACAGGTGTGAGCCACGGCGCCCAGCCAATTATTTGCATTTTACATATGATAAAAGTGCTGCATGGAGAGACCTAGTAATGTGCCCAAGATGTCACAGTCATGAAGTGGGAGAGCTGACATTTGAACCCAGGCAGGCATCAGCCTATGCCATCCCGTCCCTCCCAGCCACACACCCTGGGATGATAGGTGAGAGGCCCTGGCCAGACAGGGGTGACATCACCTCCCTTCCCTCCCAGGCCTGGGGGCTCCTGGCTCCCACTTACTATGCAGATATCCCCAGCCCGTGACGTAGCTGGGGGACTTGTTGGGTAGAATGGCGCCGGCAGGAGGGAGGCAGGCCAGCTGGATCTTGTCGGTGAGAGAGACGGGGTTAGCCAGTTTGAGCAGGGCAATGTCATACCTGGGTCAGTGCAGAGGCAGAGCATGAGGACAGGGTTGACCTTTCCTGTCCTGTGGCGGTGTGCAGGGCTCTGAGACCTTGTCATCATTCCCTGTTCGTTACCCCAGCTTGCTCTGAGTGTCAGGGTCCCAGGGCATCTTTGAAAATGCAGAGGGCCTTGTTGAAAGGAGCAAGGCAGGAGAGATTGTGTCCTACTCCAGGGACAGTCACAGGATCGACAGCACTGTCCCTGTGTCCCCAGGACTTGGCATGAAGTAGATACACGCTCAGCAGACAGGGACCCTGCAGGCTTGACTGGCAGCAAACTCAGGTCACTCTGGCAGTCTTTGCTTCTCCCTCCCCAGGTCACATCCCCACCCCAGACATCTTTGGAGCTGGTTCCACATCTAAGAGGCCAGAGTTCCTTCCCCTTCCCTAAAGAAGAAGCAGAGGGCATGTGGTGGAGTTGAGACCCTTTCCTCTGTGAGACCCCCATGTGTTCCCTGACAACCTCACCCCCAAGTGCACCCAGACAGAAACGAACCCTTTGGAGGCATCGCTGGAGTCCCAGTCCGGATGCACCACAGTCTTAGAGACACTGACGGTCAGCGAGCCGGACTCTGCAGTGTAGAGGTTGTGCCGTCCCAGCGCCACGCGGTAGGTCCTGGAGTCGCTGGGAGAAAGGGGGCCCAGGGAAAGAGTCACCTCCAGAGGCCTGGCTTTGGACAGTGTTGGGATAGACCCAAGTAACTGGCTGCTGCATGAGCCACTAGGTGGGGCTTGGGCTTGGGGGATCTTTCCTCCCCTGGGACAATTAGTTAGTTATAATAGAGCCTAAAGTATATAACGTAAGAACTATGATCATATAATAATTGTTACTATACTAACTTTAAACTATAATATAAAATCAATGTTGTAATAACACAGACTCTGTAGGATTATGGAGGGAATGAGATGAATACAGAGAAAACAGGAGTCAGTTGCTCTCAAGGACATTTTTCCCACCTTTCATTTTCAGATGGGGAAACTGAAGCCCAGAGAGGTGTAACCTGGCCCAGAGTCCCATCGTTAGTGAGAAACCAGAACCAGAAGCCAGGACTCCTGACTGTAAGTCTCTATTAGTTTCCCCATCACCTCATAGAGCTTATTATAAATTAGATGGGAGAAGGGATCACTCCTGATAGGGAGTCACACGGACCCAGCAGAAGCTCTGGTGAGTTCCAGCTGTGATGAGCAGAAGTCACGGACAACGAAGAGGATAAGTGAACAATGTTGCAGAACCTCGTGGGCCTTTATAATTAGTCTATAATTCAGAATGAGCTTTCACTGGGCACTTACTAAGTGCCAGGCCCTTTAGTAAATCAACTCATTGAATTCACACTAAATTCTGTTACTCCATTGTTTTCTGCAGGTGATGGTATTGAAGCTTTGAGAAGTCAAGTTG